CCCGCCCCTCCCTCCCTCCCCAGCTCTATTCGGCGTTCTCTTCAGCCACAAACCGGAAGCCGCGTTCTCCAGCTACCGGATGTTCCACGCGTGCGGCTGCGCAATGGCGTTCGGCTACAGCTACTTCCTGTGTGTGGAGACCAAGGTGTACATCCTCGCCGGCAGTCTGAGCCTGGCCCTCACGATGTACGGAGTCATTGAGATGAAGATGCAACTACAAAGTCAGCATATAGGGGATATTGTGGCCTTGTGAGGGAGACGGGGGGACGGGGAGAGATGGGGGGAGATAAGGTGAGACTGGGGGAGACAGGGAGAGATAGAGGGAGATACGGTGAGACGGGGGGAGACGGGGGTAGAAAGGGAGACAAAGGTGTATGGTCGCTTTTAAGCCCAAGGGGGCTATCCCGAAAAAACGCTGTTTTGAGAAAATCGAAGGTAAAGTTTTTGCCCCCTATTCAGTTTCTTTAAAAGACAAGGAGAGTTTTCTCTATAACCAAACAAATATACACACCAATGGAACCAAACTTCTCCTATAGGTAGGGCAATGCCCACTTTTGGTGTAGGTCAAGATTTCTGGAAACCACTGAAATCTGGGTTAGCCAGCTTGTCCTTAAAAGTGACCGTATACATCCTGGGTGGCAGTCTCTGAACTGGCGTCTGTGGTGTAGCGGTTAGGGTGTTGCCCTCTGCACACAGAAGATGCGAGTTCGATTACTCTGTGGATAGGTGGCTTTTGTGTGTGATGTGTTTTTTTGTTTTTTGTTTGTTTTTGTTTTTCGCGTCGTGTCACAGATGTTTCATTCGTCTAAATCTGTTACTACACCTTTTCCAGACCAAATTTTAATTTAGACAATTCAAATGAAACATAACAGAGTTTGTTTCCTCATAGTACGGTATAATACAAAGTAAATTCGACACACATATTTCCAAGACTAATCTAGAGAGAGCAAATGTATTACTATGAAGCTCAAACATCAAAATAGTGCAATGAAATGTAACAATAGAGAGTTCAAATTCAACATTATCAGTTCAAATTTAACATTGCTCAAATTCAACACACATATTTCAAGTAGGCCTACAAGAAAGGCTTCTCGTATAGCCTACCAGTATTCTCTGCTTATCCTCGAGACTGACTCTTTTTTTTTTTTTATTGTCAGGCAAGCTTAATATGTTCTTGTGTCTTCCAAAGAAGATGTGTTACAAACGAATGATTGCTTCAAAGTGTTGGATCTAACAAAACGAGATTGCGTTTAGATCTAGATCTAGATCTCTAGACAGCAGCCGGAGAGAGACGGAAACAGTAAACAACGAACGTAGCTAAGAGACAGATATTTGAACTTTCATTGCTGCATTTGGACTCTGTATCTTGATATTTGATCAGGAAAAGGTGTAGATCTGATTTAGATCTAGAGAGGAGACGGCGAGTATTGAAGGCAAGAGAGATGAACAGTAAACAACGAACGTTGCTAAGAGACAGGGTAGCTTCCCCTGACTCGGAGACCAGAGACACTAAAATATAGAGACAGGAAACGAGGCCTCTTTTCGCGTATCCAGGTCACCAGCTGATTGTGAAACGAGGCGCGGT